CAGCAAAAACGGCACCTTTTTATTGATGTCACAGCCGGCCGCCAGCAGAGCTTTGATGACCTCCGGGTGGCCGTTCCTGGCCGCCAGGTGCAGGATGGAGCGATGGTCGGGGATGCGGCCCAGCAGCTCGGGCTGCCTCCCTAACAGCAGCTGGACCGTCTCCAGCCGCCCGTACTGGGCCGCCAGGTCCAAGGGCATCTCCTCTTTCTTGTTGACGATGGTAGGGTCAGCCGCATTCTGCAGGATGAACATACAGACAGCAGGACACAAGTGAGAGTTTTGTAACAGCCCTATGTATTGATGGAGTATCAACGCGGTGCATGGTGGGACAGAATGGGGGTCGGTGGTGTATACATTTATCGCCATACATGTACATTTACATTGCTATCAAAAGCACATGAGTACAGTTTCTGGGAGTCAGGTCGGTGTAGTGCTTCTTTCCTCGGTTTCCACCTTTGCGGCCTGGATTCCATCCGCGCTCGGTTCACATGTGGATTGAGGTTTTCAGTCCCTAACGGTACCTGATTGTGTGGGTTTTATCCAGACCATTGGTCTTGTGTTTCCTCCTGCCACCAAAAATGCACCTGCTCATTATCTCCTCTACAGGTTTCTTCAGGCTTATGAGCTTACAATGTCTAGAGGGTGCGCTTTGGAGGAATCCTTGGTTTCATTACTAGAAAAACTTATTAATAAGAAGAATCTCTGTTTACACAGAGCAGATTTTTGAAAAAAATTTCTGCATTTTAAAAAATTTTTATGCAAACACTGTTTTAAATCTTCTGGGAACTATCTTTGACAATGGAAAACGCTAGGATTTCACCTCTCACTTTCATCTGATCGAACATGCCTCTTACGCTGCCATCTCCTCTGCTCATGGCATGCATGTACAAGTGTACATGTACATTGCCTGTTTATACCACACTGATGAAGCCCATTAAACCAGTGCGGTAAACCAGTGTAACACCGGTACGTCATCAGTACATATGGGTAGGCATAGCGAGTCTACCACAAGCCCACTCATATTTGTTTCACGAAGTGTGGACATTCCTTTTTTCTCCTGTGGTTAAGGTACTGGTAACTCTGGAAAAATGCTCTCTTTTTCTCCCACTAGGATAACTATTTCGAACTGCATAACTCTGACCCAAAAATGTTGCTGAAGATGTGTTTTAGAGAGGGGAAAACATTGTGTGGACGTGTGCGAGTCCACACAATGCTATCATACCCTACATTATTTGGAGTTCTTTTGTCTGTATGTGCAGAGGTCCACACTTTGTATGCCAAGCCTGCACATTTCAGTCCAGCACAAGTCACCCACACACTCACACTCATTCCATGCCACTGGGTACTCAAACAAACTGTAACCAAAGCATTCCTTTGTTACTGCTTGTCCTGTAACTTGTAACAGGACTAGTGAAAGGACCGGTGACGGACTTCATTTCAACCCTGACACTAAATAAACTTTTTTAGACCAAACAACTTAAGAAATACTTGGATGAGTACTCTTCAAGTACTTTTCTCCTTGAAAACATTCTTCTTTCAGGGAGAGTCTCAAGTCTTAAGGTTATTGTGTAACCTTACTTTCATGCATGTACACATAGCATTCAATGTTCATCTTCTCTCGCTTTGTTCACACCTGACCATGGTAATATTTGGCTAGGTGATGACCGCTACACCACTGCTCAACTGTGACAGGCTTAATTATTGTCGGGATGAACAAACTGGAAAAGTTGACTCACCTCCAGCAATAGTTTGACGACATCTGTGTGGCCATACTGCGCTGCGAAGTGCAAGGGAGTATCCCAGTCATTATTCTGAAGTAAACAGTTGGAAACCACAACATACAAACACCTGTAAGCTAATACTTTCCACGATCAGAATCATAAAATTAATGTTGACACGTACTACATGTAGGTATTTACAAAGGGCACAAGTCAATAAACGACCCCAAATTTTTTAAAGTCAAGGCAAAGTGGGAGATCTGATTTGTTCTTTGCAAGATGCACTCTCGTCACCCTGTAGTGCACGTGTACATGTAGGCAGAGACCTTGTGTGAGGTCCACACAGCAGACTCCACCACTGTTTCTCAACCGAGGATAAGATGAGATAATTGCCACCCTCGTAAGCAGCAGGGTATCCACTCAAACACCATTTCAGTCACAGGATGGCACTACGTGAACTCCATCAAACGTAAGATACAGCGCCTTCAAACCGAGAGGCCACCCGAGACTTCCCATGCAGTACCTGTCCGTTGATGTGGCAGTACGCCCGGGCGTGAGATATGAGTACACGGATGATTTCCGTCCCTCCTGTCCAGGCAGCCAGGTGGAATGGTGTGCTGCCCTTGGCATCTGGCATGCCCGGGGAGGCATCGTACTTAAGCAGAATCTCCACTGCAAGCCTGAGGACATGGAACACAGTAGATGAAATGTAAAATTGGTTTAAATCCAGTCACACATGTGCCACATCCAACATCTAACTGCCGGAATTTGTCTTCATGTACTATACATGTACCAGTACATGTACGTGACCAGTAATAATTTAATAATATTCATTTATAAAGCGCGAATTTCATATAGATATGTTCAAATGCGCTGTAAAATAAAGACATTAAGCGTGGAACAATGAATACATTTAAACATGGTTGAGCCGATGGCATACAAGGGCGCCTCAGGCAGCCGCCAAATGACCCACATTCACCAACATCAGTAAAGCGGAGACAGTATGAAGCAGTTACAGTTTTAGAGGTTGGAGGAAAACCCCAGAGGAATATTCTGGGTAAAACCCACTGAGTCAGGTAGGGACTGAAAACCCAATCCACATGTGAACCGGGCCGAGATTCGAACCCGGGACCACAGAGGTGGAAGGCGAGGAAAGAACTACCCTGCCAACCTGACTCCTGAAATATCGAGTGTATGTCCCCACAACTACAGTATGGGAGTTTGGTACATGAACCGTATATACATGTGCACATACATGTATGTACTGTACTACTACGAGGCACGTCCGTCTCAGGGAAATATTGTTTACAAGTACTGGTACAGTACCGATATTTACTGTCTACAGTATTATGCACATCAAGTTGAAAATTGAGCGAGGGGTTGTGGGAAAAAAAACATACACCATTATAATTTGCAAGTGGGTTGGGACTCACACACATGTGTACATGTAAATACATGTACAGTCGAACATGAATAACACGAGCACGCTTGAGATGAGATCGCACTTAAGACGAGCATATTTCTTTGGTCCCGATCAAACTGTACACATTCCTATGACAGAAAACTTACTTAATACGAGCTATGCTAAGACAAGAACACGGACAAGACGAGCACTTTTGCCTAACTGGCAGTGTCAAAAACCATTGTCCATGGCATTTTTTATACGAGTACAACTGAAAAGCATCTTCAAAAGCTTAATCCCCGTAATCCCAGTAAGTAATTCCTGATGGAGCACATCAGTAGTTCTCTAAAAATGCTTATCCACTCAGCAATTCGGGTTGCGGTTTTGCCAACGATGACTTAGCGACTCTGTTCCTTGTGCCGCTAGAGGGGGCTTTATTCTAGATGACACTAGGTGTTGCGATGTCGTGGCATCAAAGGAGTTTTGATCACAGCGGGTCTGGTCCGAAAGAGTTTTTTTTTTTCAGCTGAACATGAACAATTATACGTGAACCTGACTTGAAAATAGATCCCTCCCGCCAATTACAAACCAACAGAAATTTTCCAATTTCAACGCCCTCTTACGTCCCTTCCTTATATGAACTGGTTCTCAAGTTAATTAAACCTTAACTTACGAGCAACGTCAGGTACCAGTTTCCAAGGAGCGCTTTACCTGGCTATGCCGCGTGCGCGCGGCACACGCAGGGCGGCCGGCCAGCCACTGTTGTGTCAACAAGTAGGCGTATTCGGAATCATTGTTTTATTCATTTGAATCGTATGATTTAAAATTTATTAACAAGTTAAAGGCTGTACATCGAATACTAATCCACTGCATATACATGTACTGTATCGTAGAGTACCAGTACATGTAGGCCTGCAGCACACGTACATTGCCGTAGTGTATAACAAAGCTTGCTGGTGTATGACGCCAGGCTTGCGCTCTATGCCTGGGGTAAGTGTCAACATGTATAAAACAAGGTTTACAGTAAGACGAGGTTTTTTGGAGAGTCCCTTGGAGCTCGTATTAAAACGTATTCGATTGTATGCAATGTATGTGTGGGACTAGATACCGGTACATGTACGTTCATGTACCGGTACATGTGTAGATCGGGTACAAATTCTGCAAGTTACATAATTTGCATGTGTATCTTGACCAAGCAGCACCCATCCCTTGGCACTCATCAGTTGGCCAGCTACCGGTACAATGCACATATATGTGTACATGTACAGTACAAAACAGCCATATACATGTACATGTACGATGTATTACACCAAAACTGGCTCACTAGTGTATAATATTACAGGAAAGTGAAACCTTATTATGGAAACTACAATGTACCGGTACGGTATGCTGGAGCCAGGTCAAATTTAGTATGGAGAAACAATACTTCATTTTGATGTGGCCTCCCAACTGGCTTGCATGTCTTCAGCAATTCCTGTTTATGGAAGTGGAGAGTTGGCTTCCAGCGAGCCAGGAAATATGGCCTGGGGGCTGAAATGATTTGATCAGAGCCCATTACAGGATTGGGTGCTAATGAAAAGGCCATTTATTGGATATTGTACACCACAGGATTACACTTGAGGAGTTGAAATGATCTCAAGTCAATTATACATATAGTTTTCATCTGAACTGCTGATAAACTAGGTTGATATTACTAGAGCAAACAGTTTACTCTTACAGTAACTGTCTGTTTATTTTCTCTGTACATGTGCATATCGGTACATTACCTTATCATCATACACGTTCAGTACAATATTCTATTCTAGATTACACTTGAACCCATTACTTCCTGTGGTACCACACAGGTACAATTCATTGTTGTGGGTAGAAGTCCCACCATGATGCAGACTATGTACGTGTACCGGTACCGTACATGGGAGTCCGAAGGAAACTTGACTTGTACGGTACATGTGGATTTTGTTTTGCTCAAAAGATCGTGGATCACAAATGATACGGTAAATAACAGCAAATTTATGTACCCCGGTACATGTAACTGAAGAACAAAGTAATACCCCTTCCCCGAAGAAAAGCAAAATACCCGAATATTTTGTACACAACTAACGTCCAAATTATATTTTGCGGGGCTGTGATTGCACACATGTACATAGTATGTAACCTACAACAGGAAATAAGAACATTATATTGTATTCATGAAATATACTTCTAAACAAAAAATGGCATACATGTAGGAATATTCCACACAGGACAGCGAAATATTTAACATTTAAACAAGTGCTCACTTGTACCGGTATATAATGTGCACAGCACATCATACAAATGTACAGTAAATGCACATGTACATGTACATTGTCTCAGTGAATAAATTTGAGCAATACTCGTATACACTGTACATTAATTCTCAAAAGTTCCTGATCTTGAAATTCTCCTCTTTACTAATACGGCTTCTGACATCCATCCCTGTGACAGAAGTCTGGAATTCTGAATTCCTGGTACAGGTGTATGAAAAAACTGGAGTTATTGCCCAAGTTGACTGACCTGGGCACTCTGTACCAGATATACGTGTATGTACATTTGTTTGAAAAAATTGTATAAAAAGTTGATGTACACTGCAATGTATGAGCATTTGCATGCCCAATTGCCACCTTGGGTGTGTAAAATACCATGGACACCATCACAGCAGGTGACAATTCTGTGCTGTTCACAGTACAAAATATGACGTGGCAGCCGACAATCCCATTCCACAATAACAAAATCCCTTCATGAGTGGTATTATTGGAAGCCACAACCAAGGGAAGACGAAACTCCTGTTCATGCTGTAAACAAATACTGATGTACATGTACAGTGCATCTGACGAACAAAGTACCCGTACACGGTATGTATGGTATGTGTAAGCACATGTATCAGAACAAAAGGGATAATGCAAGGTAACTATGTACACATTTATTTGTGTACAGGGGTGGTACCAGAGAGGCCAGTTACATGTAAATTCAAAAAACATGGTGGCTGAAGCATTTTAGCAGCATCCAGTATTTCTTGCAGCTACATGTACATATACTTTTGTACACTACTTTTTGTTTTGCCAACAGGTCAGAATTTTAGCTGAAGTTTGTTTTATACCAGTACATGTACGGTGGCAGAGCACCTAACAACTAGAAGCTTGCAGTCAGAACACTGGCAAAAAACTACGGTAACATCTTCACAAAATGTGCCACTTAAACACTGTGACAAGGGATGAACACCCCTCACTGTACATGTACAATGTACATTGTAAACTGATTGTCACTGGAGAGCAGACAGGACCTTCACAAGAGACAGAGAAGTCGCACTGCCTACATGTGTAAAGCTTAAGTGTCAAAACACTTTTACCAAGCAATTTTTCTCCCAACCTTGACAGTATACACCAATTGGATATAACTTTGCCAGGTTTGTGTGGACCCTATCCACTCTGCTGTGCATGCATGTACATGTACCACTTCTGTCCTTGGCTTTGCCTGCAGTTCAACCAAGAATAAACTTGACAGCTCAAGGGATGCACGTTCTCATACATACATACATGTACATTGTACAATGTACCCGTTCTCAAACACAGGAAATAGGGAAGACGGTCCCTTAATATACCCATGTCCTACTCATGAGTACAATATACACTGTTTCTCCCATGAACTTGTATGTGTGTAAACGGTACATACCCTGTTCAATGATATCCTCATTGTTGGGGTATATGTACCAATAGGTCATATATACATGTACCATACATGTATCAATTACCATACACAGTATTTCCTTAATCTAAAAAATACATGAACTGTAACATAACCTTCAATATACAGACATGCAATGTACTGAAGATGTACTGATATGTAAGATTAAACCCAGGCTATTATGGCCTAGTCATTTTGGTCTGTGCTGTGTTAAGTATTGCACATGTAACGTTCACATGTAGTATGTATGTACATTGTATGTATGCACTGTAGTTAGTTGTACCAAGACATACATGTATATGCATTGTACACAAGTGGCACATGTATACATGTACATGGGCTGTAGTAGCTTGAAGGTCAAAAAGATCACTTCTAATTCTGTGAAAAGCTTACTCAACCTGCTTACATGTATATCCTTTTTTGGAAGTTTTTATGGTGAATGTGATGCCAGTGTAGTCTATTAAAATTGAAGTGAGAATTTTTGGCCAGCATTAAAAGTGCCCCCCACAGTGTTGTTGAAAAAAGAGATTTTGGCCCCCCTAATGGTGTGATTGTGTAAATATCTGCCGGGATCAGCTCCCTGGGTCTTTTGGGCTTTCATATTTGAGAGCAGAAAAGTTAAAAAATACGGTTGAAAAATGGTCCCAATTGCCCGGGAAAGTTGAGGGTTACCACTTGAAAAATGGCTACAAGCAGACTTTGGAAATATCACTTTTTTGGGGGTGATTTTGTTTTGTGGGAATAATTAAAAATGTAATTGGTTAACCTGCCAAAAAATTAAAAAGATATTGAAAGATTAGACACCAGACAAAAATTTAATTGATGTGTCAGAAATCTCAGCGATGTTGTATGCATGTTATTGGGCCCTGAACAGTGTTGAGTTTGCACAGTTTTTAATGGGGCTTGAATTAGTGGACTGTACCAATGTACATGTACTGTACTGACGATGTACACATGTACATACATTGTACGTACAAACTTTACGTACATGTTGTTGCACAGATCCCAAAGAAATTCATATTGAATTGCATAGGCCTACATACTCGAATTCAGTACATGTACATGTATATATTTACCGGTATCTTCAGGCACACTTGAATTCTGATTGGTCAATCTACGGCAACAAACAGTGTGACAGATAACTGTGTTGCGTGGTCCATGTCAGACCCTGCATAATGCGCTGTTCTAACTCAATGTCCTGTCCTATTTTTACACTAACAGCAAACGCACATTTGCGTGACTGTAAATTTCAAGAGGCGTGCTTGCCTGTGCTGGTCGTCACATTTAATTTTAACAATTTCCATTATTAGTGTAAGCCCTAATAATAAACAATTTCAATGCTCAGTAGATAAAATCGCAGACGTGTCATACATTGTACATGTGTTCGGTGTACACCGGGGTTACTGTTTTTTGCTGTGCGCATGTACATGTACAGTGTATGATACCTTTTGTCGTCTTTTTCATGGAAAGCATGCAAAGCCCCTTTACCATCTTTACTGCGTGTCAAATTTGCTTGAAGAGTACATGCACGAAAACCGTTGGACCTCCTTTGTGAGTAAAGTGCATTTAAGATACACTTTTTAAAAACATTTGAAATGTTTAAGTTTTTTTTTTGAAGAACTGAGGCTGTGGTTGCCAAAGCCAGACTTGAATCAGTGACCTTTGGTTACTGGTAGTGTGAAGGGGGCATCGGAGGTCATCCCTGCGGTAGCATACACTCTTGAGCAGGTGATGTACATATGCATGCATTATATGCTCCTTTGGTCAGTGATGGGATGCTGTGGATTGCCTAATGTGCGTATGTGTCAATTCATGCACACAGCCTGAGTGATGCCAATGCAGTAACGTCATGTACATGTAGTTGGTGTTTCTTCAACTAAGAGCTCTAACTGACACTGATAGTATACATGTACACTGGCAATGCCCAATGGGTCAGTGGCCACGTTCTTAATTGTATCTCTTAAAAGGTATTTTAATTGCTTAAGTAAACATGAACTGGCCTTATTCACAAGTCAGTCATATTGAATCGAAAGTGAGGCTACATGTACTCCTTTTGTTTTGGCATCTGAGAAAAACAAATGAAAGCACTGAAATGAAACTCATTACAAATTAATATCAAATATGCTGATGATGAATTCAAAATTTGTAATTATTAAAACAAAAAAAATAATAAAGTGAGGCATGGAAAGGCAAAAGTAGTTTTGGCACTACACTAATGACAGATTACACTGATTAAGACAGATTCTAGGAACACAATCAAACATGGCTTCTCTGCCCTGACCATATTACAGTATCCATCCCTCTTTGCATAAAGACTTCTCGGGAACAGTCAAGGCTCCAGGTAACTGTATGTGCAGTGATAAGGTCTCCTTTTTAGAAAGTGTAGAGTGAAAGACGCACGCACACATGTATGTGTACTTTTAGACTGTAAACCAACCTCACATGTACATGCACATGTACAACTGTACACTATACGTGACACGCACCCTGAGCATAAACGGTTCACGCTTGATGTCTTTCAGAAGTCCAAGGGCTGAATTCCGTATCAGCAAAACAAGTTTTTTGGGGAAGTGATGGATTTGCTGAGGTAATCCTTACTTCCCTCGACAGGAAATGCAAAAAGACGCAATAGGACAGTATTGGCAGCACACACATCCGCTACCTTCACGTGTCTCAACATTTTGGCACCTTTTGGGCTTAAACTTCTGCCAACGTTCATGTACAGGTACTAAGGTACTGTATCTGCGGGTAATTCTACAAACTGAGGTACGTACAGATGGGGCAAAAAGTTACATGCACTAGACAAAAAACAGTTTTCCTCAATTTTTCACTGTTCAAAATAGTTTTGCCAAGGTTATGAGGTCAAACAAACAGTACCTCAACTCAATGTCCATAGTGTGTACATGCACTTCAATTGAAAATACTCAGAGACATTTATTATGGTTCAAAATATTATTATATCTGAAAAATCATTTTGTAAAAAAAGCACCCCATTATTGTGTTGAAATGGCGCTGAACAGAGAGAGGTAGAGACATGCAGTAAGACCCCCTCGGCAAGTGAAGCCAACTATAGGGAGGACCAGTCCAACCCCTGCTTTTCTATGGAAAGAAGGACGTAAAACCGAAGATGATGATGATGAAGAAAAATACTTCAGAATGTGGTCCACTGCGACTGTGTGATGTGACCACAAATACAGGAAGTGGCACTCAATATTAGGGTTGGAATATGTAAAATTTTGATTTCTCTGTAAATATAAATATGAATCGTATACGTCCTCGGGTGTTTTTATTTCATGCATACACCCTGTACTTTAAGTAAAGACCCATCTTGTCTGTCCTGGTGAAAAAAAAAGTTGATAGAAATGAGCAAAGTTGTGAAAGTTATTGGAAAACTGTTTTTGTTTTACCATACCAGGTGTACAGCAGTACTGGGGGGGTATGTAAACTTTTTACCACAACTGTACATATATGTACATAGATTGGACATTTGCACAGTCAGAGCATGGAATATGGACAGCAGCGTGTACATGTAGACTAGAGTGGTTTGTCGGTAGCCAGCCTTCTTGCAAGAGCTTGTTGAGTTTTCTTGACATTCCTGACAATGATGGTGTATACATGTATACACCAATATGAGTTAATTGGTTTAAAATTGTATAGTTGTCACCTTTTACAGCGGTTGTAAACTCCAGTTTGGTACAGTATCCACACCTTTTCCCGATGTTCAATTTGAAACAAAACAAGTCAGTTATACCTAACCAAACATCAGGCAGAATTGTGGAATTCATAAAAAAGGGGGAATTAAAGGTGGAATTGAGCCGTACAATATTTCAAGTCACATGTTTATCACAATCTAAAGTTATTTCATCATCCACACTGTAAACGTTGCCTATTTTTGCCCATGAAACTGAGCACACTGAACATTTCTTGATGCCAGGCGTAATGACTTAAGGCATTCTCTTGAATCTGTACATGTATGTTTAGCGAAACACAAACATGCAAACCGATTCCAATCAAATAAAATCAACAGCTCAACAACAAAATCTGTACCCACCCAGTATATTTAATTCCAATGCCTTAAACTCAACATGTGTACTTGAGTAGCGTGTATTTACCGTACCTGTGCCCATTCAGAACTGCATGGTGCATCGGTGTATACCCAGAGCTGTCTTGGCAATTAGGGGCCACACTTCGTCTGAAACTAAAGGGAGAAGAAAAATCCAGACTTTTAGCATGACAGGTACATGTACATGTATGTCCAAGATATCACACACTTTATTACACCCAAAATGAAATAGAAACTGGCAGAAAGGAATTCAGAATGAAGTATGAAATTTACAGAAAACTGGAATGTGATGCAACTCACGATCAAATGATTAACCAGAAGACTGCAGAAATAAATCTTAAAACAGGTTTTGCTATTTAACAGATTCAAGCCAGTTCAGTGGCTGGGTTGTATGATGTTTGCACAAATATGCACTCAGTTACATGTACACTGTATGTACATGTATGTATATGTAGGTTCTTGGGTTCGAATCCCTTCCGAGGGTGCCCACAATTATTTACGTAGAATTTCCTGGATGTCAGTGGAGTATACACGTACCAGTAGCTGTGAAAATAACCGGTGCACATGCATGAACCGGTATGCCAGTAAAAGCCCCAACCAAATGTTATTTCAAGTGCATACAGGAAGTGCTAAACACAAAGTACACATACCAGTAGCTCGACAGCTAGAACATGAAAAGGTTGAAACATCGATTGGCAAACTGACAGGAACCTTGTACATGTAATAGGCCTTTTCCCGTGAAGTAAATCTCAGAGTTAACACAGGGTTTGGGGCAGGGTTGGAAACTGGCGACGATGCACCCTTGCTAATTTTCAACACCTGCGCCAACCCTCCGTCAAGCCCAAGATTGACTTCAACCCTGCTCTGGACCAGGGTGGAGATTTTTCGACCTGGGTTGAAAAGTTTTCGTGCTCATTTCTGGGTTGAACTTGGACAGACATATAACAAGTGTGAAACAATGCCGGGTTGAACACAGGGTTGAAAAATCAACCTTTCAACCCAGGGTGGTCACGAGTTCGCCCGGGGTCGAGTTCAAGCCAGGCCAAGAGGCTGTAGTGTGAACAGGTCTAAAGATGAACAGAGAAATTTACCCAAAAAAAAGGGATATTTGAACCTGCCACCCTCACACCACTGTGGAAGTGCTCTATTTTTGTGTGGTAGTCCAAAGCACCAGTGAACACAGGAGTCTGCCTACATGTTCGGGTACATGTGCACGCAACGGTACAGCCCAGCCACGGCCAGGATTTCCCCTGCCAATTCATACATTATCATGTAGGCCTATGTGAGGCAGCTCACCTCACAAATCTAAGTCACTATCACCACCCTTCAGCCTTTTTTTGGGGGGGAGGTAAATATTGCCACCTGAGTTACACAAAGAAAAATGATAGAAAACATGAAATGATGTGTGGTAAATCACCTCCAGATTGTTCTCACAGTCAAAGAAACGGCCACTGAGAACAAGAGTGAACTATTTTGAAGAAATGAATTCAGAGTAATTTTGGCCCTGTCAGCAGCAGTCAGGTGCAGGTGCTCTGTGTCTCAAGTTTTTTAAGCTGCCTGGTGCTATCAGCACCCCAAGGGAAACCTGAGCCCAGCTATGTACACTGTATACATTGTACATGTACTGTAGTACATGTAAGTAGAAAGCCACAGCAAGTTTCTTGAAGAACACTTCTTCAAAAATAAACTAAATTACCACAAATTGTACATAGGTTGTGGTGTGACAAACATCGTCATCAACAATATTGCATGTACTGCATTTGTTCACAGGCAGCAATGGGCCAAAAGCCACAGCTGCATGTGTACTCATCATGACAGCTTCTTGTTGAAAGAAGATTCGCTCACTGTCCCCAGAAGACTTGGGCTCAGCACGCCCAAATTCCGCTAATAAGTGACTTGTGCTGTGCAGACGTACGGAGATAGTCCTGTGTGTGTGTGCTCTACTGACGAAAGGTGTTGAACACTCTTTCATAACAAATAACATGCCCGAATTGACCCGGGATGACCTGCCTTAGGGCAACGTGTGGGGTTCCTTTCATTTTGCAGGCACTCAGCACTGGGACATATTTGTGGTGGTCTGTGTTTGGCAGTTATCAGAATTGATGACTGCCAAATTTGTTAGGTACTCTTTATACTGCGATGACTGCCCCCTTTTTTGGTGCATTCATTACATACAGGGTATGCAAGCGTCCACAGTAATGCCCTTGTTCACATCTGATAGGTGTAAGCACAGATTTCTATTGTATGTTCACTTTTTTGGAATGCAGGTCAAATGCGTGGAAAATGTCCTTGGCTGTTTGTCACAATGGCATTGCAAAATTTCTTGAGGTTAGTTGATTACAGCTGTGAGCATGATGTACAGTATATAATGCTGAGTGCACCACCAAGAACAGAATCATCATCAACCTTTACTAGCCATGTACATGTAGGCCCTGTCTACAAAGAAAAGTCAAAGGACATACATGTGAATGGACCTTCCTTTTTTACTCCTTACTTGTATTGCGCTGAGTCTTTGTGCACTCAGTAGTTGAAGCCACAATGTCCTATTCTGTACTTCTGTGGTAAAGTTCCTCGCATCATTGCTCAGACATTTACTGTCTCAATATTTCAATACAACTTGCCGGTAGTCTGTGCATTTACAGGCAGTATAAGACTCACGGTGAATTAACGATGCTCAATTGCCTAGGAAGTGCATTTCGGTGGGAAGGGAGGGGGTGTCAGCACTGAGTAGATTAAGCTGCTGTATAGTCAACGGCTTTCTTTCATTCTGTTTACAGTGGTGAAATTGTCTGTAAAGTCTTCCGGTCCAATGAGGCGACAAAAATTGCCAACTCGGCGTAAAATAATGGATCAGTGTTCTGCCAATATTATATCACTGGAGACAAGTTCGGTGTACTGTGCCCTGAGTGCTGGTTTCAACTTCCAGACTCAACCAGTCAACTGTGGACCTATTTTTTTAAGAGGATGTTTTACTTCAGTGAAATTGAACACCCCTTGAGTACACCAGCCTCAACTCTCATGACTTTATAGGGAAACCCAAATTTCTGGATATCGTGAGCATCGCCGCTGGAGTTACTCAAGCTTTCAACACCACAAAACTTCTACATTTTGTATTCAAAAAAAGGAAAACACTGAATTTTTGCCGAATATGCATGTAGCTGTACTTTAGGCCTGTATTAACCTGAACAGCCCTAAATATTACAAAGTACTAAGTACTACTTAGTAGTAAAATATACTATTCAGTGCTGTCGCTTGAAAGAGGACATGAGCTTATTGTTCTCTGAAGCCATAAAATACAATAGATAAGACAATGAACCATACAGTGTTCTTGCACTATGAGTGCATGACTTTATTGTTCTCTGTATGAGTAACAATGGAAGTGCCCTAGCCAGAAGTAGTAATTTGTAACGCTACGTGTACATGTAGGTCCTTCACTGAAGTTCAGGCTCACAAAAAGCCTCACATTACTGCTTCATGTATTTTGTACTGAGTACTGTGAGTACTCCAAGCCAAATTTTATGCAGAACTGTTAGGGTTAAGGGAATGTACATGTACATGTACTTAGCTGGTCTTAAATGATCACTAGCTAGGGATAGGATCAAGTGATAATGAGGCAGGCCAAAGGGACATGTAAGGGACATTATCAGCCTCCATTCTGCACGTATCTCCTCCATTCTTCCATTTAATTTTTAGTTTCACACTTTTTCAAATTTATGCGTAAGCAAGCACTGAATTCTCTGAAATACTGTGCAAGAACAAAGATTTTACATACATGTAACTGTGAACATGATGAATGGTAAACTTTTCAGTACAGACTCACCATCATTTTTTGTACCAAAATGATCACAGTTTGCATGCATTACACATGTACAAAAAACATTATTAAAATAAATGTATGTAAAAATAAATGTATGTAGAAACATCTTTGCCTTAAACTCAGTTTTTCATTGCTTTGCAGGGTCTGATAGAATCCAAACTTTAATATATTAATATATATTGCAATGTTTCTTACAAAGTTACGACACCCTACTCTACATCGCTTCAAAAACAAAACAGAAAAAAAAAACTATTTCATATTTACCTCTCTAAGCATGCTAAGCCTAAGGTGTAACAATGACTTGTCACGATGGCTCAGGTTGTCAGGTTGGCATACATGCCTTCCACCTCTGTGGTACCGGGTTCAAATCCCGGCCTGGTCCACATGTGGATTGGGTTTTCAGTCCCTACCTGACATGCCTGACTTCGAGAGTTCTATCCCGACATGCCAGAATATTCCTCTGGGGTTTTCCTCCTACCTCTGAAACTAACTAGGCCTACTGTACTGATCATCCTCTCTACAGGCTAGCAAGCTACATCCTCTCTACAGGCTAGCAAGCTACAGTCATGACAGTGCCTAGGCCATTTATGTCAAAGAGGAATCCTTGGTCTGTTGGTGTCATTACCATGATTACCAAGGCAATACCAGACTGAGATAAATGATTGGTATGATGTGTCCTCTGGATGTATTGCCGACTATATTGAGCAGATACAGGCTACAGTGAACATATACCACGCGCACAGTACATGCACAGTGATTGTTCGTAACGGAAGCTACTGTACAGGCATATGATGTAGGCCTACATGTACAACTCTTACCCGATAGCAATCGCTTGCGAGAGTGCATTCTTCGGTCGAGCCGACAATATTTTTTGAATCGTTACAACGTTCCCTGTCCGGGCAGCATCCAACAAATCTTGCTCCTTTCCCATTTCGTTCCAAAAATAAAATTAAAAACTAAACTAAAAAAATATAGTCAGGTAAAAACCGGTGGAATTCCGGCAAAAAGAAAATCCGGAAGAGTATCTTCTGACTTTCACATTGTCGCCATTATTGCATAGTACCCACAATGCAACATGAATTTGGCGTACAGTATAGTATAGTACCGAAGTGTTAACAACGCGCGCCACATGTGTTTAAAAAGTTGTTGTCGGGTTCGTCACAATAATTTAACAAACGAGTGGTGGCTCACTTTCCTACCTCTCCACTAGACGTCATTCAGAGATATTTCTCAGGTTTCGTGATTTTCCCCTATTATAAGTAAATCAGTCAGTCTGCCGGCCGGCCAGTGACTAAACCTCTTTCACACAATTTTGTACAATATCAGCCTTTCCTTTATTGGCATTTTGGCTAAAGTTTGACTCTTAATGAGTCGAATAGTGTAACTTCCTTCGACTACAGTAGACCTACAGGCCTACTTTGGCATGTACGTCGGTCGCCAATCAAGATGGGCTTAGATCCATCAACATTCCTTGCTAGGCTTCGAAAAGCGCTGACTTGAATGGGTTGAGATCAACGAATAAACAAACACACTATTAATCTTCTGAAGCTATCTACTTATTTTATTTTGATTCAAACTCACTTGATTATCATATAGACCTGACAATAAAAGCACAGTTTTATTTATAAGATCTTTCGCAGGAGAGACAAATTTACAGTTCTAATGTTTGCCACATATCCAAGAAGCGAAAAAATTGTGAAATACTTTTTTTCGGCTGGAAATATGTTTTTTCCCGGATAGAAATGCAACTCGATATGATGGGGGATCTTCGTCATTCTACTTATAGCACGTATCTACGGAACTAGGATATGCCGGGGCTCCGTGGATGGATAGCAAATTTGGGTAAGCCTACTACAATGACGTCCCTTTGGATCGACCCCACTGCTTGACAACGATAGAAATGTTCCCACTGGTTGGTGTTTGTGTAATGTACAAAATGTCATGTTCGAGGGAACTGTATTATTCTGCTCCATGAGTTCTTTCCCTAATCGTCGGTAGAGCTGATTCCGCAAAAAGATATAAAGAACAAATTCTTGAACTTTATAAGCTAGAAAATGGCGACTTGAGAAGTGGTACATGTGGTTTTTTTCATACAACGGACGTAAAATAGATAGGGAAATCCCAATATAAGGATTAAAAATCACACTATAGGGGCCCACAACCTGCAAACGTGCGATGGTAAAGATCAAAATATTATTTAGTATATGCACTTCAAAATCAAATGTTTCGTTAATAAGAAAAGTCATCTCTACGTCTTATTTTTTGTGTTATACGTAGTTGTAGAGCAGAAAAGTGAAAAGTGACCTTAGTATAGTTTGTGTTACACAGGTGCATCGGCGTTCGTTAGGGTTACTCCTTTGCTTTGAAGAACTATCCGACTAGCATCAGTTTTTCAGCAGTTCCATAGCTTTTTGAACGGAAACTGAACCTTTTCGCTCACATCTTAAAACTGCTGACGTAACTTCCGCAAGATCGCCGTGCATTCGTCCCAAAAGTACCTGTTCGCCTTACCGTAGACAAACACGTTGAGGACGCTGTTGAGGTACACGATGTCGCGGAGAGCTACCAAGGCAGCAATCATACTGGCGTGGTGGGAGGACTTCAGGAAATCAGCGAACATGCTCCCTAGGGCGTAGATTCTGATGCAGACATTCGGCAGCCACAGGACGAAGTATAGGAAAGTGGCAACGAAGAGCATTCTGGTCGTGCGCGACTGATGGGCTGCGATTTGGTGGCGGCGTCCATGTTGAGGCGGACGAAGAGCGGTTTGGAGTTGGATAGGGTTGTCAACTTGTTGGGAGGGTCCTGCAGGTGGCATTTGCTGCTGGACAACCTCTGTGCCACTAACTGAGAGCGGTTGCTGTGGAAGTGATTCTGGGAGATCAGTTGCTGCACTTCTGGCTGCATATGTGCCTTCTGTCTCTCTTTGATTAATCTTGGATCTGCTGATCTTCATACGTACTGGACTGCTTGCTTCATTGTCGGCGGGCGCATTGCATGCCTGAGGAGGCTGTTGCAGGCTTGCTGGTGGTGAGGAGTCAAGTGTGCGTTTGAAGCAGTGGAGATGCTCGCCAAGATCTGCCAGCCTGGCCAGTTTGGGTTCGGCTGGGTAAGTCAAAACACCACTGACAGCAGGTCTGAGTGCTACAGATTGGGATCCAGTATATATATCTTCCCCTGCCTGCTGAGTGGAAACGGAACCCCCGGTGAGTGGTCGATTTCGCCCGTCGGTAGCGCAAACAGTTTCCCGTCGTGATGCAACACTTGACGGCATAATCTGTCGCCGATTGCGGACGAACTTGAATATAATGCCATAAAACATGATAACTAAACACAGCGACACTAAGTAAAGTGAAATTGGGATAAACTTGAAAAGTGACCGTATGAATTTATCTACGGTGTGGCCATACACATCCTCGTGTATTTTGTGGGCAGCTTCTGGGACGACTCCGATGAACCCTGTCGCAAAGCACACCCCTGCCACAATCTTGGCCCGTCCGAGCGTCATAGTGCGACGGAAAGAACGACAGACAGCGTCATAGCGATCGAAAGCGATCGCCGTGGTCAGTAAGGCCGTCGTGTAGAGCAGGGCGGTACTGAGGAAGTACACCACACTCTGATCGTTGTAGTCGAGGAAGTGCGAGGCTGACGCCAAGACTGCAGCGTCCACGAATTTCAGGAGACATATCAGGAGGTCGGCTGTGGCCAGCGCCCCGATAAAGACGTGGGTGGTCGTTCGCAGCCTTCTTGCCCGGCAGACGCACAGAATCAATGAGTTGCTCGGTACGCCGACAAAAAAGACGAACAGCCACAGGGCAAATTCGGCCCATCGTGTAATTTCTAGTTTCTCAACAAACGGAAAAGTGTCAGACGATGTGGTCGAAGGCATCCTCGTACAGTCTGTTTATCGGGATCGTTCTAGGCTCTGAGTTACTGAACGACACCCAACGCTGTTCCGTTGCAGCAGCGACTGAAATGCTAGGGGTTCATTCTTTGGACTCCTTTATGGCCGTGCAGACGTTGGTCTATAACCAAAGTGACAAGTTTAACATAATACCAACTCACATTGCCGTTAAAACATCTCACTGCCACTTGATTTGCCCTGCACATCGAATGAAAAAAAAAAGCAATGGAGCAGCGATTGAAATGGAATTTAATGTGGGCAGTGTGTGCAGGGAACATGATCCGTCGAGCATGACTGCTCAAGTCGACCGCTTCTTCCTGCTGCCTTGCTTCAGGTGTTTTTAAAAGCACGCAGAAAATGAAAGTGCATAAGGCAGGGGATCAAAGCTTCAAGTACTACGGTCACAGCTCGTTGCTATCGCCGTTGATTTCAAGGGATTTCAAGCAAACATGGACCAACAACCACGTTTATTGGGGAATCGTAGAATTTTTTTCAGAGAATCTCTGAGCCACAACAAAATTATCGATGCACTAAACCCCCAAATACTCCTGTTATTACTTTTATTTTCAATCGAGTGAGAAAATAAATTTCTTAACTTCCAGACGAAATTGAGAAATTACTTGTACATTTAGTTTAGCAGCTAATTCTTCATTCAAGCTAACATGGCATTGCGTTGTTTTTAAATTAAAGGTTCATAAACACTGTATACTGTAGTAAATGTCCGAGAGTTTGCTAAAAAAAATCACAAGCTCGAACCCACGACCTCCTGCTTACTAGAGCAGATGTCTTATCCACTCGACTACCGAGATTGCCAGGGTTTCTGGCCGGTCCGATTCAGATAGACCAGCGGGTATTGCAAATTATATAAAGATATGCTTTTGCCTCAAGCTCTCAGGAAATATACGTCGGTGTTAAGGCAAAACCTTTGATTAAAATTAACATCTCCCCATCGCAAAAGTACACCTTGAAATATGCATTATATTTGTTTAAAACTAATTTACTGTACTAGTCAAGACGATACCCTCGTAACTCAAATCTTAAAACAACGTTGTTATTCCGGGGCACTGGCTAAATTTGCACCTTGGTCATGTTTCTGAGGCAGTATACTTTATCTTGCGTATTAACTTTAGACACAGTTGGATCTCGCAGGCCAACCTGGATCCTGTCGGCGAAACAACAAATGAAGGAAAAACTTCATCTGTCGACCGGATGGGTTCGGTCAGTTTTTATTATATAGAACCATCCCCTTTAATTCCAGTGCAACCTTTGTTTAAGGTGAGAAACATAAAAGTGCAAAGTAGAGTCCACCAATCCGCCTCTAGCAGAAGCACCCCCTCATCTGTTAAAAAGAACCACATTGGTTGAGAGTGTTCATTTTGTTGATATGCGACCGTAACGCATGCATTTCATAGTCGTTTGTGAACCAGCGAAGTTCAGTTCTGACCAAAGGAACCTCCTTTGCGCCCTCTCTTGGTCCAACTCGAGGCTCATTTTTAAAAAATGAGCGAGTGCTAACACAAGTACTCTCCTGAGCACAGGCATGGGGAGGGGGAGGCGTGGGCTGTACACATACGTGGTTGGGCTTCTTCAGTCTTATCCACTGGGACGTCTTCTACAATGACTCCATGATGATGGGTACCCAAAATAACCGAGTTCGGGCAATAGGAACCTTGGTCATTCTCGTGCATCAATACCACTGCCAACTTTCCTGAGGAAAGTTTCACCGGCCCTCTCACTGCCTGAATACCCTGAGGGACATTGGCGCCGTGCAGTGGTTCAGAAACTGTTTCAAAATCAACATCTGCCAGGGCTCTTCGTACTGAGGCTGCAACGACAACAGCTTGTCTGGCAGGGACTATAAGAGGGGGACCTCTGTTCAAGTGAACCTTCGCAACGGCACCTTGAACGTCGTCAAAAGCTTTGCGCTTAGTTGGTTAGACACCGTCAGCTCAACGCTTACGGACTCAACGCTTACCCAGCTGAGACCGACAGTCAGACAAAATGGTCATCTCTAGAATGCTTGGCACATTTTGAAGGGCTAGCATTCGGCCTGGCCTCCTGCATGACCATAGTCGGGATTTAATAGTCCTCCCCAGCAAATGCACACCACTTTCGAAGCATCCTACATAGGGAATGTTGGTTTCATTAACTGCGACGAGTTTGAACTTACAGGGGATACTCTCATGTTGCACACCATCTGGTGTCAGTGTTCCATTGAAGTAGTCTTTGGTGATCGTAGTGACTATATATCCAGTGTCTTACAGGCAAGGAACAGTTCGGTTTCCAAATATGACATTAACTGCATAACAATCTGAGGCAGCATGGGCTTGAAAATCAGGTATGTCAAGATGAGTCCAGCCATCTGTCCAATATCCCATTAATTGGCTTTCAATAGTGGGATGCGTTAGTTTCCCGAAGTCCCCCAGCCCTAAGCGATGCAGGGGACGGGGCAGGTTGGTGTTGTCGGCAGAGTTAAGGCAAAATATCCAGGTTGGCCACACCTATGGTGGAGGCAATCTTCCGGCAGGTGGAATTCTCTCGGCGAGGGATTTCACGGAGAGGACACCGTGATTTCCTGCAGCTGTCTCTCCAGCCGCTTGGTTTTACATGAGGTTTCATCTCAGCCCCTATTTCCGATGTGGTACTTTGAGAGGTTTAAGTCTGTGCCCAGGCCCGTTCCTCCCGCGTTCTGGCCCAGTCCAAGTGTTCCCCAAAGAAGACAGATGGATTACCATCAACAAAATCTCGAAATGAGTGCCTCAGCTCTTCTTGTTGCTCCAGTATGATGTTGTCTGGATTTTTGTAAAGTCTGGGGTTTCATTTTAATAGTCGATTGAAGAGCTGGTGTAGCTCCACACTAAAACGACGGATGGACTCACCACGTTGCTGGCGTCCTTCCTGACATCGCCTCTGCAATTCTCTACTTGTCAGGGTCTTATGTACCATAGGAGCTTTCCAAGTATTTCAGGGCATACCGGATGACAGCAGTGACTTCAACTTTTTGGCCACCTCGAAGTGCGTCCAGCAAAAACTGGCCTCGCTGGTCTTCCAGGATGTGGTTTCTCTCATAAGCATGGTTTGTTGCAGTCACAAAGTCATCATCTTGCACTGATTTTAAATCATCTCTCCCCTCGTGCAATTCGAACTGAACGCACTACCGTCCATTGTTTCATCACCCCCTGCTTGCCCAAGCTTTTTAAAATAACGGCTAAACGCACAAAACCGGTGGCGGATGTGTTTGTATGTCTGTGGTACCAAAGGACTGTCAATTACATTTCAAAACACGCCCTCTTTTGTTCCTGCTCCGAGCGGATTACAGCCACTGTGAATTGGTGCGGAAGAAGCAGGCAACAGCAGACGCGACGACAACATCACAAATGCCCTGACCGCCACATGGTGGCGTTGTTGCCATGTGCCAGTTTCACGGTTACATCCCTTGTGACATTCCTTACAAACAAGTGGGTAGATAAGGACAGGGTATCTGCCCCAAGTGGGACTAAGAGAGGCTGCAATATTTCCTAGCAACCTCTGGGAATTGCACTTTACTGTTCAAGAACGATTGTGAAATACAAGTGTCGCAGTCACGTTGCTACAAAGAAGATGGCACCTGGTTACCATCTACACTAGCCCCAGAGTCTACGGGACTCCCTCCGTATCCTTGGCCTCACAACGGTCAATCCAAAAAGTGGAGACTCTGAGAAAACGCCTTCTATGAAATCGCTTTTGCGTGTATGGATCACTCACCCCATCAACCACCAATGTATTATTACTTTGGGCGATTTGTAGAAGTCTGCGAAATTTTGGTTTAGATTTGGGCCATTTGTTTACCACAGCGATCAACTCCGATCGTTGACCGATCCAAACGAAGTCGGGGTCTGTTTGCTCTGACTTCAAAACAAACTAGGCCTACAATGTGACCATGATCCATTTTCAAAACGCGCTCTTTAACACCAAATTTTGTGCCGACAGATGCCTTCGTCTGTTTCACAGAGACTGTGGAGCAGTAAGCATAATTGCTTAAATTGGTGACTTACAAACTGATCTCCATGCACGTGTAAAATGCTAGCTCATTTAGGACCGGAATATGCTTGGGCAACAGCATTGCCATCTATTTCAGTAAATCGACTTTCACGCTAATTGCTAAACAGCGCTATAAAAACTAGTCATGCATACATTTAAGCTAAAGCCGTCTCTACATTATCAAGAGGAAAAAAAACGCTGAGGGAAATGGTTAACGCCAGAGAGGCCAGGCAACGTGAATGCTTAGAAACAATGATGAGCCTCGAGCTGGACCAAGAAAGGGCGCAGTTTTCTTAGCAGCGAAGGCTTCTTTCGTCGTACTGAACTTCACTGGTACACGAACAACTATGAAATGCACGCGTTACGGTCTTAACGCTACCAACAAAATGCACACTGTCGACCAATATGGCTCTTTTAAACCGATGAAGGGGTGTTTCTGTTCGAGACGGATAAAAACCACACACCGGCCTCCCAAGTACTTTGTTCAGTCGTATCAAGGCTGGCACAAACCTTCCCGAAAAGCTCGAAGCTGTGAGACGGTCGTCGGAAATAGTACTGTCTTCGAGACTCAACTACACTGTGTTCAAGCAGTGTCATGCGTTTGTCAGTAAAAAATGAAATGAAACTGGCAGGGTTTTATTTTGTCTTACTCTATTGTCTAATTGCTATGTCCAGTCTCTGAACAAAAGGAAGATTGGGAATTTCGTTATTTAATTACACTGAATCGGAAATTGAAATTATGGGCTTGTTTGAATAGAGTTTGTTTCACTGTGTTTGATACTCAACGGAACAAGTAATCTCCTATTTTATATTCTACTGCCATAAATATTTTTCCAGCTGGACAAGATTTTGTATCGTTTTGAGATTTTTCACCGTTGCTTTCGCCTCTTTATTACAAGACTTGGCAAGGCGTGTTGCTACAACGTAAGCATTACACGTTTACAATTAGGTTGACGTTTTACAATTGGGTTGTTTATTTATTTTTTTGTAATGCTTGTTACAAAGTGTTCTGTTGGAAGCCTTCAGAATTTGATTTATCAATATAAGAGATTTTGCCCAGGCCCTTATTGCTTTAGATATCTATTTCCAGCTATGGACGTCAATTATTTGAACTCTTTGAGGATAGGCTTTACCCTTGCTTGTTCTAGCCCAGCAAAATTGAACAGACATATTCTCAGCTTGAAGGTGATTGTAATTATGTCAAAAAAGAGAAAAGAAAAGCGAAATGTTGCGAAACTGTCATAGTCAGCTCAGAGATATATCAACCGTTTGTGTACCTGTATACAATGTATATGTGTCATCGGGAGACAGATCTTACACGTCCTTTTCAGAGTTCCAACCAATACACAGGGTTACAATTTGTCCAAGCTTCGAATATCCTCTGTTGGTGTAGTTAAACTTCGTGTTTTCTGGTAGTCTCCCAGAGGAGCACTCTGACTTGGGTTCATTCTATCAAATCGTTGGCTAGTTCTTGGTCTCAGTACATTTACCAGGAGAGCAATTGTTTGTACCTAGACGGCGTCATCCACGTAAGTCATACCGTTCTGACCTTTGACGGGGGAGGGATACCCGATAGGATCAAGCGGCTCAAGGTTTCTTAGGGGGAATCCTCCCTTAGGGGGTGGCAGGGGACCATCGAGTTTCTTGGCACTGGAGGAATCTTTGTTGATCCCACCGCTGCTACTGATCCCGGACTGGGTGTTGTGCAGGCGGAGTCGGGAGGCATGGCGGAGACACAGATTGCTGCGGATGCCGGCCACCGATATCACGGAGCCGTGGGCGCTGACTGCACCGTCGAGAACCGGCAGCGTCATCGTCTGGTTCGGCACAACAAGGATCTTGGGTTCGTGTTGGTTGTCTTTCTTGAACGTGAGGCGGTGGACGGAGCGCGGGATGACATGCGGGGCGCAGAGCTCGTCACGGGTGTGAGCATCAGTTGCTTTGGCCTGTGTAACAAACCAAGATATTTTGTTCAAAATACAGATTTGCTGTTTCCTAAACAGCTCGGTGACACCCGCATAATGATTATGCATTACGTGTGAGGACAGTACTCGATTAACAAACCTGAATCAAGATTACATCATCCACGTTATCGTCGATTTCAAAGGAATACCCTTCCTCCTCCAAGTCAGGTAAGTAGCCTCTTTCCAAGTGTAATTTGATCTTTTCTAGAGTCCAGCCCTGTAAGTGAAGTAAAAGCCTTCTCATTCGAAAGACCATACAACTGTGATTTATCTAATAATCATGATAAACTGCCGTTTTCTATCGCAAAATTCTTGCACAGTTTGCACTCGCTAAAGGCTTTTTTTTGGGGGGGCGCATCGTGACAGATGTTTGTTGTGCTGAACTCTGATAAATATTGTTGGAGTGTGTAGGGTTTAAACTTCGCCTTTGCATCGACAATCCTGAATTCCAACGTCTGTTACGAAAACGTTTACCTGGTACGCTATCTGCTCGAGCATCAAAGGTGTCGCAATACGAATGGCAATGATGCGCCACAACCGATATAGAAGCGACGGGTGTAAGGTGAAGGTCTCCAGAGCCACTTCCATGTCCTCCAAGTTGATGAAATAAACCTGAAATCGACGAGGATACAACCCAGTGAACATGTGCATGAAAACGGGTCTTTTACCACACAGTCAGAATATTGATATCTAGCGAGGATTATATTCTGTTCTGTCACGTGCGTGGCACCAAGTCATTATAAGACGGAACGTCTCTGTCTAACTGTGGACTTTGAGAAACCAACGAGAAACTAACGAGCAAGAAAAGTCGAATAGTTTCTGACATAATTATTTTCCACTGTGGGCACAAGAGAATAGCCGTGAAAACGGTATAACATGCAATAATATGGCATGTTGGCGCTGTAATTAAGTTAGAAAACACACTTTGCGGAAACCACAAATTGATAATCCACCCTGCGGTCAATTCCTGTGATATTATACTAAGTCTGAAACGAAAGCGATGAAGATATTACAGCATTCTGAAGGCGTGGCAAGAACATTAATAAAACCAATTAGCATGTATCGTCACTGTAAAAAAGGTCCATTATAAACGCGTCTTTGCGTTAACTGTTCACATGTTACCGTTTCAAATTAAACACCTTTTGGGAAATAAGTGTGTTTCACTGTTCAGAAAGTCTTGTTATTAACACCCAAATTATGTCTAAATTTATTGACACATCAACACGGATATGTTGAAGACAACACCACAATATGTCTAGCTCAACACGTTCATAAAGTGTTACAAGGAAGGCGTCTAACATTGACACTAGTTTCAACAGTGTTGTTTATCCCTCTGTCGAAAACAAGAAGCTTTGAGATGGGTACAGGGAATCCCAGGTGGGCCTACCTGTACGGTTGTTTCACACTGAACTGTTGCGTTCCTCGGCCTCCCAGTCAGCACACCCATCTCACCGATGACGTTGCCGACAGAGAGATAGTCCTCGAAACGGCCGTGGCCGCTCGCCGCCATCACTGAGTGGTGACTGGCGAGCTCATGGTCAAGATACTCACTCTGACCAAAAAGCTGTTGATTGGTTTCACAGAAAGGATGCGTTGGACGCCTCAAGATGAGATCTCCAAACAGTCGCTCGCGCGTATAAGCACGTGCTTATAAATAGCAGTTCTTCTTTGGATATGAAAAATTATCACGGCCTATGTTCCCTTTTCTTTAAAGAGAGTGGACATGCTACTTAAGGATGACATTAGTGCTGTGAGCCTACTGGGTTTTAGCACATTCCGATCTATCACAGTTTCAGATCCGATGCAAACACATACATAATGCATTAACCACACTGTAACTGCTGTAAGAAACAAATTAATTGTATCTTGGCATGTATACATCAGGAACTTTTTTGTTTTTCAAAATGCATACCTGTACAGGCCGGTATAGTTTGGATTTTTTTGTTCTGTGGACGTTGACTAATCCTTATCGAATTTGAAGACTGTTTTGATTGTTGCAGAGCTGGTATTTACCTTGACAAGTCCGGACACGATGAGATAAATTCCATTGGGTTTGTCACCCTCCTTCACAATCACATCCCCATAGTCAAAGTGGAGTAGCTCCGCACGTGCCTGTAAAAAGGAGTAACAAAATTCATAAGAAGGAAAGAGAATCCCTGTTTGGTCAAAATTTATCTGAATAACAATTTGCTCTACGTTCGACTTTCAGATATCTCAAATTAGCTCCATATTTAAACGGTTGGGCGTCGGTCAAAACTGAACAAGCAACCGGTTATGCAAGGGAGATTAATAAACTTTTTGCACTGATAACGGACACGTTTTTTTTCTAAATGTAAAATGACTCAATATTCACGAGCGGTCTTCTTTCTACTCGAGTTGATCAAGTACAATGTCGGCTACTTCATCCAGTTGATCTTTCATAGGTTGACACAGAAACTGATTTGACAAGCATTCCTAACGTCTCAACACAAAGTCTTTAAAACAAGCCCAATTGTATGGTATTTCCCAGTTCCAATTTCGTCACTGCGAAGGCCACCATCAAAAGAAATAATGTCTATCAAAAGAAATAACAATTCCCTGATCGAAGTTTTTTTTACTGTTCCCCTAGCTTGCAGATGATTAAAAAAATACCCAACGTCAGTGAAACAAAAGTATCTTTACCTTGATGAAATCAATGAGTTTCTTGTCTCCTTCGATCCACGGTACATTTTTCAGTAGGTTTTCCGGAGGGGGTGGTGGAATGCTGGCCGGTGCATTCATCAGTTGTTTCATCTTGATTTCTACAACCTACCAGTTTAAGTAAATTACAAAAACCTTCAAACCTGTGATACGTTTGTCTCGTAGCCCCCAAAAGTCTGGGCCTCCACCTTAATTGCCCATGGTACATTTTGCACAGGGGCGGGACTCAATGTGAAGGTGGTTGTGAGTACAGGTAGGTACGTGTACACGTACTCAACATCGTGTATCGCTTTAAGGTCGGTTCATCCTAGAGGCGAACGTGACAGCGAAGTGCATTTGACGTCATTAAAGATTACAGCAATATCTCGCTCTAACTAAAATGTGTTCAATTTTTCGAATTTGCAGAGCGAACTTTTGATCTTGCGTCACAAATTCGCGTTTTTGTTCCTTTTGCTTTTGCACCAAGTATGAATCGGCCTTTACTCTAAGTTTTGAATCAATTTTAATCGTGTCAACGAGCATACTGAATGTTCGAAAGCTACTGCATTCGTTCTCACAGATCCTGAGTCAACATTGAATTTGTATTACGATGCAACGCTTTTATACAACTTCTCCAGCGACTCACCCAGTGATGTGGTTTCACAAGTAAAGACAAAATATCTTGATGTTGATAGGTGACCTTGCGACAATTGGTGGCAGCATTACCGGTGTTTTACCAGTTGTGAGGTTGCGCTTGTTGTCGGAGTATAAGTGAATAGTTCTGAGCACGAGCCACCAGCGTACCAAGTCTCCGATTGAATCTATTCCTCATAGGCATGTAATGTTACCAACCTTTTCTAACTTGTGAGCCTCGCCTTCGTCAATCAAGCCGGCCCCTTGCAGTTCTCGGATGGTGTCGCGAGAGTGGTTTAACACCGTCCGGATAGATTGCCTGGTCTTGACCGACACGGCAATACCAGGGTGTACACGCTGCAACATTCCTGCGTGTATTAGAGTAGGCACATCGACGAGCTTTATGAAGCGATGATACTGATAACTGCGCCGCTCTTTATGTTCTTTCTTCCCCAATTTTGACAATTTTCTAATCTGCAACGATGTGTTAAATTTATGTTCTTATTTCTACAAAACATCTCACCTAGCTCTTTGATGCACTCTAGCCGATTGGTCTCCGAGATGTTCTTGAGGTAGCTGAGAATGTTGTCGTTGTCGACGAGTCGGTCAATAAGCTTGCTGACTTCTTCCTCGCCAAGCACGAAGCCCTTGCCCACGTCATAACCTAGGGAGAGCTGCAGGTTGATGCGGCCATTGAGGAAGTTGACCAGCTTCGGTAGAAGAACCTATACAGGATCGAGGGTAACGTTATTGGAAGCTCGAGTAAGGGGGATGGTACGGGCCTCCAGCTGGACCAAGAGAACGCGCTATTTCCTCAGCAATGGAGGTTTCTTTGGTTGGAACTGAACTTCGCTGGTTCACGAACGACTAGAAAACGAGGGTGGTATTAAAAGTAGCATAACTACCAACAAAATGAACACGCCCGACAATCATGACTTTTTGAAACCGATGGGGGCATCTGCTTAAGGCGGATAGGGACCCGTGGATAATTCGAAAAATAAACAAACGTGGGAAAGGAAGAGATAAAGGAAAGTTGACCGCTCCACTGTGGAGGCGTTGCGCGGTAGTCATCTTGCAGGGCAGTTCTTTTGTGTCGTGGGGAAACCTCCATTATGCATACGCTGTGGAACAAAAGCTTTGGCCTGCAAGATGGCAGCCACACTAACCCTCCATTGACAGCTTACTTATTTGAAAAAAAAATACTGACAGCTTCCTCCCTCGCAAGTGTTGCTCCTCGGAAAAGGTCTTGGTACTGCTCACGCGTCACATACTAGATGAAACTGTGGTTGTGTGGCATCAAAGGCTCTTTTTTTTTGCACATATTGGTAGGGTGCCCAAGGCTGAGGTATACCTAATTACCTTAAAAAGGCGGAGCATCCTTAGGCCCCGGAGGAGGCGGATCAGCTTCACCACCTTCAGCAGGGAGGGGTTAAACCCCTTATTGTCGCCAATGGTCTCGTCGAGAATGATGTCGATGAAAGACATGACCAGAATAAAGAAGTCAAACTTGTTCCAGTTGCTGAAGATGTAGTACTTACGCCAGCCAATCACCTGGTCGAGTGAAACAATTGGACCGACGGTGGTTTATGTCATGATAGACAACTTTTCAGTGAGTAATTGAGATAATGTAACTTTTGTCGTGTAGGAATGCGGTCAGGGACCAATTTCATGGCGCTGCTTACCCAAGCGAAAAATCGGCGCTTACCGTAGCAGAAAGTTCTGTGCTAATGGCGAACGTATTTCACAGGTTGGCGAGGAATTTGGATTGTACGCATGCGCACATCCCGTAACTAAGGACTTTGTGCTTGAATGGTTAGGGCAGAATTTTTCTGCTATCGCAGTTAGCGCAGCACGGAGATCGTAAGCGCGGAATGCTGCGGCCAGTAAGCAGCGCCATGAAATTCGGCCCAGCTTTTATCAAGTTCACCAAACGCACACATTTGCGTGCAAATTAAATCTCTTGTCTTTGACGCCAAACTGCAAAAGCGAACTTTCTTTGGAGGATTGTGTCATTATACAGCCTCAAACCCAGATCCACCCAGTCATGAAAAGGATTCTCAAACAGTTGAGCCTGGAGCTGGACCAACAGAGGGCGCAATTTTCTTAGCAACAGAGGCTACTTTGGTCGGAACTGAACTTCGCTGGTTCACAATTGACTATGAAATGCACGCGTTATGGTTGAATTGCTACCAACAAAATGAATACTCCCGACCACCATGACTCCTGTCAACTGGTGAGGGGGTACTTCTGCTTGAGACCGTCGTTAAGAAAACCACAGTCTGACCAATATGGTGGTGCACAGTGTCAATAATAGTAGAGGAACGTGATGTGGTTGACACAAAGGACACTTCATGATGTTGATGTTGCTTTTCTAAGTTGCAATTCAACCCTACCGTTTCAAATAAGTGCCATTTATCTCCCCTAAGACAGCTCAGGCGCGCTAACGATATTTGAGACCCAGGCGTGGTTGAACACAGAGTACGTGCCATAAATTTGGAGGCATGTTCGACAAGGAAACCCTACAATAATCTGTTTTCACCTTGACTATGGCTTCCAGCGTGTAGATGGAGGTGAACACGTAATTGCTGATCTTCAGGCCCGGTTTGTACTGAGGGTACAACGGGTGTTCTTCCTGCACCACGAAGGCCATGATGATGGGGATCATGTTGAGTATGATGATTGCCATGATACTGACCTCAAAGGCCACGTGGCTGCTGACTTTGAACATGAGGCGGGAGAGGGCGAAGCGTGCTTCGGGGATCTCCTCGGTCTTCTTACCCCGGACAATCTCCTCCAATTTGCGTTTCTGGGGGGGGGGGGGGGTAAAAAAGAGAAGAGGTTATGAATTCTAGCTGAGAGCATAACCTGCAGTAGCCAGAATGTTATACGTGCACTGGTGCCCTTTACCAGCCAAGATTTGATATTGTGACCTTAAAAATGTTATGAGAGCCAGTCCGCCGGCCAATTGGACCTTTCCCTGGAACTTGAAACCTGTCCCTGGACTGAAATGCAATCATGAATAGTAATTGGTTAGTAGCTTTCAAGGTATTGTTTTACAGGACCAGCGCAATATGTTTGTTCCCCTTTCCCACAAGAAAAATGCTTCCGCCAACTCGTCAGCATTATGGTATAGCTGTTGTTTCTTAATTACGTGATTGCCCCACCAAGGGCAAAATTACCACACCCGTTCACTGAGATCTTTCTTGAAGGTATACGCAGCCAGATATAAAGCAAGTTTGTAAAAATATCTCTGATTCTTTGTACAATAAATACACATGTCAAGTAGCGTGCTTATACATAGGAGAGGACGTTCTATCTAGCATAGAATTACACATCCAACCAAACTGGTCGAAACGTCGAGTACACACGTACACTCACCAGTTGTTACCAGAACCACATTTGTTCCAAAAGAGATCTATCCACACGGCGTAACCGCAACCCCTTTCCATAGAATATCCAAGCAGTTTGGGAACCACAGTCTTTGCGAAGATCAAAATAGTCTCAGCATTTCTGCCACTTAACTCACCAGGTACGGATAGATTCCCTTGATCTCCCAGTTCTTCTTCAGGTCGGACACGCTGATGAAACCTCCCTCCTCGTCAGCTGCCGTCTCTGTGTAACCGACCAGGACGCGGACCGCTTCCCGGGAGAGCATGCCGTGCTCAAACTGCTTCCAGTAGCTTACCTATACAAATCACAGGAATTGGTCAAATCTCAGAGAGGAATAATGCGGAGCTAGACTTAGTTAAGCACATTATCTTTATTGATTTTTTTAGACAAACTAAACAACAACGGGAAAGTCAAGGCATTTGTAGTATTTTATGGGGAATAATGCTTTTCAATGGTTCTTTCCATTCACCAAGAAATATTTCAGACTTCTTACAGACCATTTCCACTAACAACGGCCGTTATGATGTAAGGCTTCAGCATGCAGCCGAATGCCACAAGCGTCCAGGTAATGCATTGCTCCGGAACGAGGTCGCGCCCGAATCACTTGGCTGTGGCTTGTGGGAACTTACTGCACCGGCTACCATAGATTCCTGTATAATTTCAGGCTGCAGCCTAGCTATTCGGCCACGGCCCCAGACTCACTTGTTCCGCTTTGAGCATTCTCAGTCTGGCCTCGTCCATCATCTCAGCGTACTCTAAAGGCGATGGCTCATTGGGTACGTCGGTGTGGCAGCTAGGGCAGACGCTGAACCGCTGGGCAAGACTCATGGCCTCTTTGCTCATCTGCCCCAAATAATCAAGAACTCCAACGTCACGGAAAACAATACAAACAGGTGAATTGAGTGAGTGCACGAGAAAAATCCAAAGCGGCAAGCAGGAAGGCAAAGGGACCATGTCATAATCTCAGTGCAACTGGACAGATGTCCTTAATTTTTCTAATGACCGATAATTCATTTTTCCCTGACGTTTTCACAACTTAAACCAGTGCTACCAAGTGCGTCAGTCCCTCTGTTTAGTTCAATGCCATCTTAATAGGAAATATACTTGTAATACATGTTGGTCATTGCTTTTTGCATTTCTTGTAGAATCTTTTGTAAACTCCACTTATCGCGACCAACCGAAACTGATCTCGCGTGCTGCCAAAAGAGAACTTTCAGCTGCCAAGGACTTTAACCCCTACCCCTTCCTCCTCATTTAGCGTCTTGTACGGGTCTTGGATCTCGGCTGCCTTCACGGCAATGTTCCAGTCGGCGTCAGCCAGGAAGCGGTCTGCCTTCAGCATTGCAAAGGTGCGCGCTTGCCCCTCCTGGATGCGTTTCACAGCGTTAGCCATAGCAAGCCTTTTCGGTATGGATATGTCGCTCATACCTTTTAAGAGGAGGAAAATAAGTCAGAATGACAAGTGTTTTAATACACACATGGCGGTGACTACCTAAATTGGCTTATTAAATCAAACAACACCATTATGAGCACGATACTTGTGTATCTTTACCAAGTTGTTAAACTGTAAAATGCAGTGAGAAATGGCAAAATGCGTGGAATCAGAAATTTTGCACTTGCGCAATAAGGTGTGGCACTAACATACAACACAAAAATTAGAAAACCCTTTATTTTGCTGCTGTGTCTGCTTTCAAACCGAGCAAAGGAAGCTGACATAGGAAAGATGCGAAGCACTGATCCCTGAAAAACTGTCTAAGCTCTTGAAAGCTGAAATTCAGAAGCTAATGGATACAATCCACCTTGAGCAGAAGCACCCCTCATCGGTTGACAAGGGCCATGACACTGGAGAGTGCTCATTTTTATTCATTATTGGTGGCTGAGCCACCGTAACAAACGCATTTCATAGTCGTTCGTCACCGGCGAAGTGCAGTTACAGCCAAAAGAGCTCCGTTGCTCAGAAAATTGTGCCCTCACTTTGTCGCTCTTGGGCTTATAATACACAGGGAAGGAAACCCACCCAGAAGCTTCAGCAGGAACTGGATCGTGGTAGCGTTGATGACCAGCGTGAGTACCACAATTCCCGACGTGTGAAACAGCACTTTGCTGCCAATGACCTGGGAGTCCAGCTCCTCGGACTGGGTGACCAGGAGGGCCATCGCCAGACCCACGGCACCGCGGAGGCCTCCCCACGTCATGATGACCCCGTTGCGCCAACTGAGCCCGTACCCGACGCGGGAGAGGATGGGGCTAAACACTGCGATGACAAAGCCCCTGAGGTAAAAGAAAAAAAGGGGGAAAAGAGAGAAAAAGACAATGAATCCGCGTCTGAATTTTGTGTCAAGAGGTAGGTCTAGATCTTCCTCAGTTACAAGGCAGGGCACATGCTGAGAGAGACGTACCAACTGCTGCTCTAAGAGCCCGCCTTGGACTCACCAAAGGTGGACAAAACGGTGACGTCACATTAATTATATCCAAATATACCGCTGCATTCTGTCAGTATGCTAGAGAGTAAAATGCCAGTAGCATTAATGTGAACAAGAATTTTTTTTGGTCACGCTCATTACTGTAGACCCATTCGATCTCAGTTTTGACGGAAAAGATTTGCAGGGATAATCTCACCATCTGTCAAAAATCTCAAGTTGATTCTGCAATGTGGTATTCGGTGTTCAATGAAAGTCCATACAGGCGTTAGTAAAAATAGAGGAACCAATTAACATTATCTCATAAAGGTACATTAAAATCTTGGAAATTGTATTTAACAAGAAAGAAATAAAACTTAACTTCAGAGTACTTCCTGTATTCACTTCCGCTTTGTCCCCAAACAGGCCGCTACTTGTTCGCGATAGTGGGGTTACTCACCGTATTATGTTGACACCAACGTATAGGGCAAACACGTAAAACCAGTCAATGGGCTCCACATTCGCCAGGGCGTGTTTGATGATGACCAGGCCAACGAGCATGAAGATGAGCGTGTTGGCAAGGTAAGCCAACATCTCCCAGAATCTGCGCGGCGAGAGAGGCAAATTTTCCTTTTTATTAATTGTAAACAACGTTAAATTACGTCATTTTTGGGACTAATTAAAGGGAGTTTTTTCCTTTTTTTCGAAGCACGGATTCTTTTATGAAATTGCATAGTGACAAGCTAGTGATGTTATAAACCATTTAAATAAAAGTTCATTTTCTTTAGAGTTGGTATGGGACGCTCAGAAAGCTTCCAAAGTGTGAAAAATAAACAACTTTAGAGACAAAAGCTTTAACCGTTACTATAGGTGTTGACAGGCTTCGAACCCGTTGCAGCAAAAGTGTGTCATACTCACAAACTTGGATTGCTCAGAATACCACTGACCAGCGCAATTCTCCCTTATTTTGCCCACTTCTAAATATCTATCAGACTTTCGAATAAGGAGTGAATGCACAATGTGAAAGAGTCTTAAGCTCATCACTGTTATCAGGAGAAATTTACGGACGGATCACGGTTTGCGCGGCGTACCGGTTCGCGAGAAGTAGCGCGAACGACGAGTTTGAAACTATTGCTAAAACGTGCAAAAGGGGGTATCGTTCCTGCGCTGCGCGGGAGGAACACGGGTGAAAATGACGCGAAAGTGGCCGCATGACTTTTGTATCTACCGCCGAAAATTTGACAGAGCTGTGCCTTTGGAGCATTTACCTGTGCAAGAAAACCTCCACCTCTGGACTGATGGCAGTCCTCTCGGCGTTAACAATGAGCCCAAGAACCACGACAGCCAGCACCCCGGACACGCCCAACACCGACTCACCGAAGTAAAAAGTCAAGTAGGTGGAGGCCAGCGTGATGGTGATCTCCACCATGGCGTCGTTGAAGATGTAGGATAACCAGGCAGTGGTCACCTTGGCCATGGCAAAGCCGAAGGCGGGACCTCCCAGGGCGACTCGAAGAAAGTACAATGCCACACTGGATGCTAATGAAGCACAGTTGAGTCAGAAAATCAGGGCCTGATATCATGACAGTGCTAAATACAGAATGCATGCACGCATGTCGTCCCATCCTACACCAGCCTCATTCCCATGGGTACGATCTTGCCGCGCCATGTTGGTTCCCACCATGCCTTGTGTGATTTAACCCCCGGTATTGTATAATTCAAATGTCCCACTATTTGGTATATTTAGATAAGAACTTTATGCGCGCATGGCGTGCAAGAGAATACGTGGGCGCGAGCGTGCAACTTTTGAAATACGCCCGCGATTGACTTTACGTTATGTATATTCATCTTGAATAGCCAATCAGCGTACAACCAGGGGCTAGTGAAGGAACGCAAACGCAGCCCTTGGAGTCCAAGTTGATCCCACACCAAAGAGGTTGGCTTGAACGCCCTCCAGTTTGGACCGAGTCTTAACCAACTTCTTTGTCATCTGGCCAGCAGAGACTTACCGGTTGCACCATGATTTGGCACCGAGATATCTCTGCAGACTTTGAAGATGACGAGAGAACAACCATCATTGAGGAGCGATTCGCCTTCGATTATGGTTCCCAGTTGTTTTGATGCTCCTGTGCATTTCAGGAAAAACGTAGTTTCTTGAGAAATGTTCCAGGGTGTTTCACTATGCTTGGGTATCTGAATACGTGTACCGCAATATTGTGCACCCTTTTTATGACTTCTTTGAATATTTTATAGTTGTTATATACACAAATATCAGTTATCTACCAGCAAACTACCCCGTGCCAATGCATCTTTTCCGTATTTTTATTCATATGCATAGCTGCATGACATTATCTAAAGTCTTTATAAGATTTGAAGACACATTATTAATCATTATAAACGGACTGAAATATAACCTGGAGATTAGAACTATTCAAACGATGCCCAGCGAAGTTGGCTAACGGACGGAGACTCATCAGAACTGCCTTGGTTTTCAGTGTAACATACAACAGCTGTTATTTCTTGGGAGCAGACGACGACATTCTATGTAATAGCTAATTTCAGCCCCGGGTTCAGTGCCGCCTGACATTGTGCATCAACCAATCCAGAAAGACGTGGACTTTGAAAGACGTGCGCAGCACTGCAACCTACCGAGATCTTTGAGCAGCGCCACCACGGCAACGGGATCCGTTGCACTCATGATGGCACCAAACATCATGCTCACGCTGAACGACCAGTTGTAGGAGAAGACGTACATTGCCAAAACTGCCGTCAGTGCCGAAGCGAAGATGAGTCCTAGAATGGCCAGTATGCATACCTGATAATGAATGGCGAGGACGAAAATCAACCTTGTGCCCAAGTTCGTATTGCTAAGACTTTGTGCTGAAGAAGGTAAACGGGCCAATTCACCATGACTTATAATTCGCAAAGGTAATATTTTTGATATTCACGAAATCGATCGAGAGACAAAGAAACGATGCCACAATAATTGTTTTTGTTGTCAGGGTAGTTCATGCTGTTTGCTCCCAAAGCCACCATATAATGTCACTGCCCTTGTATATGCTGTCTGTTTCGTCTTTGTCTTGTTGTGTCTAATTCTTTAAACTTGATTTCCACACACTGCGAGTAAGTCCCATTGTTTTTTAGCCGTCTTGGCAAGCTCTTCATCTTACGGATGCCCTCCACTTCCTACTCTCAACACTATGCCTTCTCTTACGTTGCACGTCTCCTTTGAATGAAGTGGAAATGAGGTACGAAGTCACCTTTACCTGTACAATGCTCTTAATGAACGTGTGCACGTCCATAGCGAAGGCCGACTCGAAGATGAGCACGGGCAGGAATACGTGCAGTAGCAAGTGCGGGTCCATGTGGGCTACCGAGGTAGTGTAGTCGCCTACCTCCGGGACCTTTTCGGACAGCAGGCCCAGCCCTACCCCGAGGATGAGCAAGACCACGGTGTAAGGTATGGGTATCTTCTGGAAGAGCGTCCGCACGAGAGCTGTAAGGACGGATCGTCCATCGTTACATGTAAGTTTCTTTGCTTTGGTTAGATTGCATTTTCCCTATTTAAACGACGTTTGCTCTGCGGAATCTCTGAGGACTGCAAGTCGAAGAACCAGATTTTTCCTATCTGTATTAATAATAGTTTTCGCTCATGGTATATAATGTCAGGACAGTACCATTAATGTTCAGATCTGAAACCAGACTTAAAATTTCAATGCATATCTATTTTGCATGGTGTTATAGTCTGACATTGGTCACTGCCTTAGGATTTTTTGTATAATAGCCTATTCCATTCTTATCGTTTAAAGTAATTTTTTAGTCATCTTATTGAACTGGGTTTTAATCACAAAGCATGCTGACTTGAGGCTGTATCCCGAAAACAACTGTAGACTGCAGTAATGGAGGTAAAGATAAGCCAGCCTTTCATTTCGTTGCGTTTTTAGGATACCAAGAGCTATTTTTCTAATTGTTGAAAAAATGGTAGCCGTTCATTGAAGTTTCGGGGGTTGTAAATTTGGGGACCCTATTCCTACAATAGAAGGGTGAGGTACATTTTCACTTTGGATGCACCTTGGTAGATGACTATGACATCGTCCTCAGTATAACTGTAGGGTTGATGTTGTCAAGAAAGGGCAGTATTTTGAGTTTTGAGCAAAATTATGAAGGGAAGCTGTGTGTAAGTGCCAGCACATGACAAATGATGGATTCAAATTTGCATGGTTGGCTTATCAGTTAGAAAATCAGGAGAAAGTTAGAAAGTGGGGACTGAACGGCTTATAATATTAAAATAACAAAGAACAATCAATCAGTTGCGGGATGGCCAATAGCCCGAATGTGAAATATTTTACCAGTCCGTGAGCTGAAAGAGTCGTTCTGAGAAAAAGTCATTTCCTGAAAACGTGTCTGTCCAGGTCGAAAACTTTAACTCTTCGGCTCTTCAAACTACGCCGATAAGGCCTACTTGGGGAAAAGAGTACATCAGCGTACTTTACCTCCAAATACGCATGAACCGAAGAGAAAGACGATTTCATACGGTGGTGGATGGCTATGGTCCTCCACTGGTGCCGTGCCATTCCCAGCGGTGACATTTCCACCGGGCCCAGGTGTCACCGGATGGCCTGCTACATCGTGCGCCGGTACCGCTCCCCCTGTCGGGCTGAGAAACTGCGCCGCTACCACCGCTAAGACGGCCACGTAGAACGAAATTCCTAGTCCAGAATCTGGTGCCATCAAGTAGTTTTGTTAAGATTCTTTCTGAATTTCTTTTGGACGTCCTTGGAGGGGTAGGGATATTTCAGTTGCTTTTTCAATGCTCTGGCCTCTGCAGCCGGGCCGCTGCAACATTATCTAAATTAATTTTGTTATTGAACTTGATGCAACAGCAAGCACGCTCGCGCGCGGTAAGGAATACTTTGTTTTCTTCCAATTTTTAGGACGCGTGTTGCCAATAGAGAAGCGCGTGCGCCGGGATGCTGTTGGTTATTGTTACGTACATATAGTACCGAAGTGAATACGTCACGCGCACAGTTAGTGTGTAAGAGGCATTAGCGCGAGAACCAGCGCGTGAACCAACACGTGCGCGTACTCCATTCGTTTGCACAGCACTTTCTGGTTCACAGAGACGTCACACTTCGGTACTCTATACCATCTTTGCTCTATATTTCTTCGCCACAGTTCATTTTGACAGACAGATTTGACCAAAGTTTTTGGTCATTCGTAGAGCTGCGGCAAATATCTAACGTGTTTTTAATAATTTGTCTACGAGGCTCTGATGAGGTGAAAGTCGCTACCCTCCCACTGCTCTCGGTTAAACATCAGTTTGAGGTATCTGCACAAAGCTGGAAGTATTCTCTAAACGGTTGCACTCCCGTATCCGTTACAATACATAGATCTACTACTATTAAACGCTTCACGAAAATGCCTCACTGTTTGGGGGAAAATGGGCCAGGGTGAGCTCTCCTCAGGGTGCAGTACATTATAAAGTGTTAAATCTGCCGTGCTTATTAGCATAAAATACATGTAACGCCACAGTTCTTTTGAAAAAGGAGATTGTTTTGCCCCCCAAAAAATCGAGGATTGTGAAAATATAAGCCAGGATCAAATCCCTAGCTTTGGGGGCTTCCATCCCAGGACAGAGTAGATGAAATAATTGTTGAAAAATGGTCCTGGTTGCCCAAGTCTGAGGGATACCGTGAAATATCGATGTGCAGGCTGAAAGACTGTCCCCTTTCGGGGATGAGTTTCTTTTTTAGGGGAATAATTAACTGGCTAACCCACAAACAACTGAAAACAGTTGGAAAGACCAAGGAAGAGAAATTCCAGTGTTTCTGAACTTTGTTGATTTTACACCCTAATGGGGCTTGATTAGTGCTTTGCATCCCGCATCTTTGACCACTCATGCTGAGGTAACACCCATGGATCTTGAACGACCATCAAGCGACGCACTATACGTTCCTTTTATGTACACTGCGCCGTATCTTTTCAAAATCTCCACCTGTGACTCCCTTTATTTAATAGATCTGCATTCGGATTTTTGAATTTGATTTCAACTTTTCGATCAGCGGGGTAATGATTTGAAAACCGCAGGTTCTAGTCGTGACCGTTAGCTGGTATGGTAACCCTGAAGCACTCAGCAGATATATGTCGAATCAATATTGTACGCCTGCAGTATAATTATACTGATTTTGTACTCCAGTGCTCTCAGTTTTCCTGTGAAGTTCTTCCGTGAGGTGGATATAAACAGTTTCACAATACGGTCTAAAATATTACTGCTCGTTAGGCCGTATACGGAAGGCAGTATTATATGGGGCGTAAGCAATGGATGACATCATTTATGCATGGCCGATCTAAAACGTGCGTTTAAGACCGGTTCAAATGTTTGTTAAGACCGACCAAGCACGTTATTATTCTCATTCACAAATACAGTTTTAGTCAGAGAGAAGTCAGTATACGACACATTTCCAAGGATTTAGTTCAAAAATTTCAAATCGTTTTCCTGAATACCCCGTCCATTTTACGAGCCATATAAGGATAGGATTAAGCTCTGCCGTGGCAAAGGGCTGTGCTTTGGGAGCTTGCAAGCCTCATCACATCTTGCGAGAGACTGTAAGAAAGGAAAGAAATGCAATATCTGTCGACGGTGGCATCCCACAGTATTGCGCAAGGAGTGGAAAGGGCCCCAGCAGCCAGATGTGACACCGATCAGCACAGCCGGTGCCTCTTAAGGAAAGAAGAATCACATAAATAAAACAACGTCGGTGAAGGACAATGTTAAGTACGGCCTAACAATTTCCAGTACATGCCCATGACAATCACCTCCTCGAGTTGTGCCAGGTCAAGAAAGACAAGAATGCCAAGAATGCAGACCACAACCTATGCATTCTTAGACTCTGGCAGTAATGCAGTCTTTTGTGCTAAAGAAGTGATTACCCTGCTTGCAGAGAAAGGAAGTTAGTCAACACACAAGTGCAAACGTTGACTGATGAGAAAGTGGTGAAGGGGCATGTACTATTGCATCTGGAAATAATGTGGATTTGCAAGGTGAGACAGTCATAAGTCTGCCAGAAGTCTACACTCAGAAACAAATGCAAGTAGCCAGAGAAGATATCCTCACAAAGGATGACTTGAAGGAGTGGAAGTATTTTTTAGACAGAGTTTAACTGCCACATGTGGATGCTGAGGTGGGGCTGTTGATTGGAAACAACGTTCCTAAAGTTAAGGAGCCCCTTGAAATAATCAACAGCAAAGAGGGTGGCCCTTTCCTTGCCGATCAGTCCTTACTTGGCAGGTTTTTGGGTCAAGAAAATAACTGTGAAAGCCAGAGCAGACGTTGAGGAACTGCTGCAGACCCTTTCAACCATGACTCCAATGTGAGAATTACAGAAGACAGGCCAGAGAAGTCCAAACAGGATTTGAACTTTTCCCCAAAGGTGAAGAGTTCCATCGGAATGGTTGGTGACCATTGTGAGATTGCACTCCCAATGAAACACGATGAAGTAGGAATGAGCAAGAATGCCAAACAACAGACCACGGGCAGAGCAAAAAGCAGCCTACTTACAAAGAAGATTTCGAAGACAGCAACATCGTCTGAAGGAATACACAGGCTACATGGAGTCCATGTGAAGCAAAGGGTACATGGAAAGGGTTCCGGACAAAGAGGCAAACAGGGATGATGGTAGATTATGGTATCTTCCTCCTCGTGATGTCATGCATCCACACAAACAAGCTGAGGGTGTGTATGTCTGCATAGCCAACTACAGAGGTGCCTCTTTAAACATACAGCTCATACAAGGGCCGGACCTGCCCAACAGCCTCCTTAGTATGTTAACAAGGTTCAGACAAGATAACGTTGCTCTAATGTCTGATATTGAGGGTATGTTCTCTCAAGTATTGGTACTAAAGGAGGACAGAGATCTCTTAGGCTGCTTTAATGTGACAATGGTGACATCCAGAAACCGTTGAAAGCATTTGTTTTAGTGCGATCTCTTCTCCTTTATGTGCAAACTACGCGCTAAAGAAGATGGCAGACGACCATGCAGAAAATGAAGAAGTTGCTCGCATCATCCTTCGCGAATTCTATGTTGGTGATTGCTTGTACTCTACCCCAACAGAGTCAAAGGCAGTTCAGCTTGTCAAAGGCTTGACAGAAACGTGCAGTAAGGGGGGGGGTTCCACCCCATAAAGTGGGTGGGCAACAGGAAGGAGTGCATCTGGAGTACGTCCCAGAAGAAGAATTGGGCAAAAACTTGAAAGCTCAAACATTGATGCAGGCAGCATGCCAGTTGAGAGAGCGTCTGGAATGATGTGGTCTATAGAAGATGATGAGTTCGGAGACAAGATAAAAATGAAAGAAAGACCACCAACAAGAAGAGGTATTTTATCTACTGTCACCTCTGTTTTGAGCCCTTGGGATGTCTATCCTTAGTTGTGCTTCCATCCAAACAACTACTGCAAGCCTCATGTCGTATGCAGTTGGAATAGGATGAAGAAGTTCCACCTGGCTGAGAAAAGAGTGGCAGAATTGGCAATCATAGCTCCCAAGACTGGCAGAGTTCGAGATAGCGATCGAAGTGCCTAAAACCTGCTGGTTTTAAGAACGAAAGTTAGATACAGCACTTTGCTGATCCCAGTGAGCTTGGCTATGGCACCATTTCCTACCCGAGATTAGTGTATCCGCCCGAGTTGAAGTGCACCCCAAGCGGCAAAAGAAAGACAGATGGTAGTAAGTTTTCCAAGCGGATTCTTGCGAGCCTGCTGCGTGTACAGAAAGACCCTGCGACCCGGTATGAATTTTCTTCTCACACGGTTTCGGGGGCGGACTGGCCAGTTGAATCCGTTTCATTTTTCAGGGTTGCAGAGCCCTGAGTCCGTCCTTAAGGTATATTAATGCTTCAGTGGTTGTCCCCTTGCCTCTACAGTTCTTACAAACCACCAAAAGTACATCACAGTACCGTGGGGGCCGTTTTCCCAAGCTATCCCAATTTGAGGGGGGTCTCGCCACGCGCCAGCCAAGCCATACCACCACCAAAACACCCGCCAACCAAAATAACACTTCAAAGACAACCGAAAGAGGCCTCTGACAAGTCCCAGAAAGCTGTCACTGATAAGAAACATTCCACTGTCTGCCCCAGGCACCGTTTTGTAAACAATCCATTAGATTGTACACAAGGGGCCACTTAGCACACAGTCCTACGTGAATTGGCTGGAGGCTGGTTGGAGGCCGGCTGGATTTTTAAAACTTTTTTTCTGGCTAGGGGAGGCCCTGGCTGTAAAGTGACTAAACCAGGTTTTTCAGCATGTACAGGGGTAGGATATGATAAATAGTCGTTGCATTTGAACGAAAAAAATATATTTAACGTTAATTAGCTCCAATGGACTCGCCAAAAGAGGCCGTTCCCTCTACCGAGGATAAAGGAATAAATTCGTTACGCATACCGAGCGTGCTCTGCGTCAAACGCGCCATTGATCTCGTTAACCGTTCCCAGCGGAACAAAAGAGGGCGTGTTTTTTGTAATCACGTCACATAGGCGTGCGTTTATATGGAGACTTGGAAAACTTATTACTATATCTCATAAATATCCCTAAGCAAATCAGAGCGCGTCTCTGGCAATTTCCACTTTTCGTCTCGGAAGTAAAAATGATACGTGACCAGGTGACATCGTAGCGGTGAGTATCCACCTCGCTACCGTGCAGTAGTGTTTTTTCTGGTAGCATCAAATATTCCTCTGGAACACGCCGCGTAAATATGTAGTCTGTGTCATGTAATCTTTACAGAACCAGTCTGGAGTTGTATCCTAATAACTATTACAGTAAAGACCCAAAACGTATGTCATCACCAGACTATTGAAGCCCTGTTTCTATGTACATCTGCACTACATTA